GCAATTTTTGATAGTTACGAGAAACCGTACAAGTTAATGGCCAGGCAGGGTGGCTCACACCTGTAATCCCAGCTACTCGAGAGGCTGAGGCATAAGGATTACTTAAGCCCAGGAGTTCAAGACCAGCCTGGGTAACGTAGCAAGACCCTGTCTCCACAAACAATTTAAACAATTAGCCAGGTGTCATGGTACGTGACTGTAGTCCTAATTACTCAGAAGGCTGAGGCAGAAGGATGGCTTGAGCCCAGGAGTTGGAAGTTGCAGTGAGCTATCATTGTGCCATTGCACTACAGCCTGGGCAATAGAGTGAGACTCTGTCCCTTAAAAAAAAATAAAAAATAAAAATAGAAGAAACTGTACAAGTTAACAGCTGACAAAATATTATTCTATGACCATATAATGATCATTCAGCCCATAATTTAACTTTTCTCCTATGCATCACATAAGAGGAACAATTAGCAACAAATTACATTACCAACTTTTCAAAGAGACTTTTCCTATGAACCCTAAAGTGACCCTCCCAAACGTAAGTCACTTTCTACTAATCTATTTTATTTTCTTCAAAGCAAGCAACACTATCTGAAATAATCTTGTTTATCTATTAATGTGTTAGTCTGTCTTCCCTCACTAGAACGTTAAGTCCTTGAGGGCACGGACTGTCCTGTTCACTACTGTATCCTCAGCACCTACAACAGTGCCTGGCACATAGATGTACAGTTAGAAGTTGTCAATTGACTACCATTATTGTTACACATCTGTATAACCATTATCCAAGCACCTTTAGAATGACCATCAATTTCTTGGAATAAGCAAATAAGCACTGATAAAACTTAAGAACTATAATGAAGGATCAAAAACAAATTATCTAACCAAAGCATTTTTATTTTTGTGGTTAAAAATAATGATTACATTCATGTCCACCTTTTCAACTAGAACCAGAGCCTATCATCATAGTCCTCATGAACCACACCATATTAATACATAATACAGAGAAATCAAAAACTACCAGACAAAATATGTTCTTTCTTAACATCCGGAAACCATTCCAAAATGTTTGTGCTGTGGTATTAAGTAGAAAGGAGACTCACCATTGGGAAACTGTGCAGATGCAAATCTTGTCAACAAGATACCAGCTCCTTCAATTAAAGCTAGGAGAATACCACCCATCGCGGCTGACCCAACCATGGCCACTGGTCCATCTGAAGACATTTAATGACAAAGAGATTACCTTAATAGAAATCTAGTTTACTGTAAAAGATAGCAAAGGAGAGCGCTATCTATATGGTTCCTCCCATTTCCAAACTCTTGTTCTCATTGTCCAAGACCCAGTCAACAAACTACGGCACACAGGTCAAATCCAGCCCACTGCCTGTATTTGTAAAGCAAATTCTATTGGGCAACAGCCATGCTCTTTCGTTTATGTAATAACTGTGGCTGCTTTCATGCTAGGACAGCAGAGTTGAGTAGTTGTGACAAAGACCACACAGCTGCTCAAAGCCTAAAATATTTACTTTCTGGCCTTTTACAGAAAAAATTTGTGAACTGCTGGTCTAAACTACTAAGCCCAAAGAAATTCTGGATTTCTCTCTGTCCCAAAGATCCATAAGATGGTTCTAAGCTCTTTATTTATAACAACCCTATGTAGCAGGTACTATTATTAATTCCAGAATACCGATAAAGAAACAATAGCACAAAAAGGTTGGTAAATTACCCAGTCACACAACTAATAAATGGCAGAAGTGGGTCCTAAAATGTTCTTAACCACTGTAATATAAGGGTTAGAACCCCATGCTATCTCATTCTCAAATGTTCCAAATAAATAAATCCCCTTACTTTTTTTCAAATCACTATATACTGATATAGTGAATTTGAATAACATGAATACTGTGTATTCATGCTATACCAAATTAAGCAACGCTCAGTTTTATATATTACAGATGTCATTGAATTAAGACAGATAAGTCTTTCCAAAAAGTGTGGCTTCTACCTGTGTCTTTAATGATCGCTTACTTCTTGCTGCCAGTATGGCTCCTGTTAAGGCACCACTTGTGATGGAGTTCCAGGGATCTTCCTTTCCTCTGACTTGAACCATACTACAGTCGATCATGGAAAACAGACCTCCCCAGACTGCAAAGCTACCTATTTCATTTTAAAAAGAAACAAACAGATACTAATTTCACCTTATACTTAAAATGTTATAGTCAAAAATTTAACTTTATATAACACTCAGTATGTTTTTAAAACCCTCATACTCCAAAAAAATACATGTCAACACAGGTTTGAATAAACACTGAACGAAAGTCAGAATACTTATCTTTTGAATAAAGCTCAGATTATATTTATATCAGCTGGAAAATTAGCAATGGCCCAAAGCCTAGAAGAAATAAGCCAGGACTAATAGTCAGGCTGCATGTGTCTAACAACATGCAAATCACCCTTTCAGAACAACATCTCTGCTTATGCAGCAATACACAAAATCAAACCAACCTGCTTCCTCCTGCCTTCTCCTTTTCTTTTATACCTTTACTTATCTCTATTTTTTCCTCTCTTCATTAAGTGTCACTGAGCATCTACTCTATGAAAATCACTGATGGAAATATTAATACAAAAGAAATTCAGCCATTCTGGAATGTATTACATGTGTAAGCCAATATATGCTCAAGTGGCAAAGGATTGATATAAGTAGCTATAATTATGGAACATCAAGGGAATGGAAACTATCTTTCCTCCCTCCTTTATTTCTCAAGCACAAATCTAAAAACAACTTTAAATCAGCAGACTGCTTGGCACTTAAACTCTACCTAGACACAAAAATAATTTTACAAAACAAAGAAGCAAAGACCCACGCACATACATATACAAGTACAAACAAAATCTAAAAATATAACACCAAGTTTGTTTTTTTTTTTTTTTGAGACAGAGTCTCACTCTGTTGCCCTGGTTGGAGTGAGTGCCGTGGCATCAGCCTAGCTCACAGCAACCTCAAACTCCTGGGCTCAAGCGATCCTACTGCCGCAGCCTCCCGAGTAGCTGGGACTACAGGCATGTGCCACCATGCCTAATTTTTTTTTTCTATATATTTTTAGTTGTCCAGCTAATTTCTTTCTATTTTTTTTAGTAGAGACGGGGTCTCACTCTTGCTCAGGCTGGTCTCGAGTTCCTGAGCTCAAACAATCTGCCCGCCTAGGCCTCCCAGAGAGCTAGGATTACAGGTGTGAGCCACCGTGCCTGGCAACACCAAGATTTTAATTGTCGGCATTTCTGGGTGACATAACAGATGATTTAATATCTTTGTGCCTTTATTTTCCAAATCTGCTAAAATGAATACAGAAGATATGTATTATATGAAAAGAGTTATTATACTTAATAAGACTAAACGCTTCATTTGACTAGGAAGAAAGAACGAAAGACCGAAAAAAGAAAAGAAAAGGAAAGGAAAGGAAAAGAAAAGAAAATAAAGAAAAGCTGCATGAATGAACCCTAGTCACTTTATTCTTTACCCCTTGAAATCTCAGGGTAGCAGATAACACGATGTGTTAACAAGAGCAATAAACTGAGTTCCACCAAATATTTGAACCAGCCCATCTCCTGGATCTTTCCTAGTTCTCACGTTATCAGTTAAATCTAGTAGATAGTACCAGTGAATTAGAGCAAAAGCTCCCTCAGTTTTGGTCCAATATTAGATATCACATACTACATAAAAATAAATCAGTTCTTTTTCTTCAGTAATTCTATGCCCTGGGAAAGAGCTATGATGTCTAGGTATATTAGAACTACTTCACTAAATTTTTCAGACAAGACTCTCCCATTTCCTTACGAGGGTCTGAAATCTCCCCATTCCCTAAGAATCACTGCCAGAGTAAGCTAAGAGAATGGAGAGTTTAAGTCCAAGCCGGGTATCTACGCAGAAGGGTAGCCTGGTGGGGAGCCAGAGCAAGGTGAGGCAGATGTCAATACCCCTGGATGTCAGAGAATGACCAGAGTGAGGAGAGATTCACAGCGGAGGGTAGCCTGGCATGGAATGTCAGAGTATATCCAGGGCACCCTGCTGCAGAGTGCGAAAGCCCAAGTAGGGAAAGGAGGGGGGTATAATGTGAAAAGAGTGAAAATAATAAACTCTGTGGGGCTGGTTTGGAATTACAAGGTATCAATGTTAACTCATGATTTTTAATATATACAGATTTATAGAAATATAAATTTGTGTGTATATGTATGTCATTAGTGTATGTTTACATATACATATACATACAGGACACATATTTTCAAGCTCTATTACAAAGAGGGCCTGGGAATAGCAACACCCCAATAATAATAATAATAACACACTCAGTGCCCATAGTTTGGCTTCTAAATACCCTTTTCAACTAAAAGGAACTAGGGGAAATGGCTGACTCTATGGCTAGGACAGGGAAAGTACAAAATGGACCTGGAACATCTTCTCCCAAAATGCAACGGAGTGCTTAAAGAATAACAGAGACATGTCAAAACCCTATCTTATTCCCCCTATGAAAATATAAAACCTTTCAGGATACAACTGTGATTTTTCCATATTACTTGTCCCTGAATCTTGATTTAAAGGCCTTTGTAAATGCTCACAGCAAATTAAATTGAAAATGTCACCCCCAGAAATGCTGACAATTAAAATCATGGTGTCATGTTTTTAGCTGTTTGTGCTTGTGTACGTGTATGTCTATTTTTGGAATTCAAGACTAGAACTTCTCAATCTACTGTTTCCCAAAAGAGGCTGATCTCAAGGATTTAAAATGGATGATTCCTATTCACTCATACCACCATCCACTCTTCCTTTATTTTACCCTGCTTTTTAAAAAAATAAACTTTTAATTTTATAATAGTTTTAGATTTTTTTTTTTTAAAGAGACAGGGTCTCGCTATATTGCCCAAGCTGGCCCCAAACTCCTAGACTTATGTGATCCTCCTACCTCAGCATTCTGAAGAGCTAGGACTACAGGCATGTGCCACTGAGCCAGGCTCCAGTAATTTTAGATTTAGATGTATTTAGAAAAGTTGTGAAGACAGTATAGAGAGTTGCCATATATCTCACACCCAGTTTTCCCCATAACTAACATCTACAACAGCACGGGGCATTTGTCACAACTAATGACCCAATATTGATACATTATTATTAACTGAAGTCCATACTTAATTCAGATTTCCTTAGTTTTTATGTCCTTTTTCTGTTCCAGGGCACTACATTTCATTTAGTTGTAATGTCTCCTTAGGCTTCTCTTGGCAGTGACAGTTATTTGATTGATTTTTAACTCAATGAAGTCAAGGTGATAGAAACAGCATCTCAAAACCAAGTAAAGACCTATATGGCTTCTGCATATACCAGAGGTTCAGGGTTTGGTGTGACTTTAATACAACTTTTCATTCTTTAACAACACAGTAACCATGAAAACAGGAAAATTAGTTATTATTTATTTTCCAGAGTATACAATTATCACAGAGGGGAAAAAAAACAAAAAACATACTTCAACCAAACCACTTTAACACCCAGGGCCTCAATTTCCTCATTTAGAAATGAGGACAATAACAGTACTAACTTCTTTCACTTTGGTGAGAATTAAATAAGATAATGTTGTAAAACACTTAGCATAGTGCTTGGCAAAT